AAGACCTGGAGTTTTTCCTTTTCCTACACAGTCTACACAGACCATATAAAACACTGTTTTCACAATGCTGTCTCATCATGTAACAATAGAAGCTTTTGTAATCAAAGTCAATAATAAAGAGACTCGGATCATTCAGAAAAAGCGGTTTGCGGCTTTTGATTTGCGCGCGTCACTGCTCAGCAACCGTCACAGTCATTCCCAAAAAAAGCCAAAGTCAAGGGGGCCCGGACTTGATTTGTAGCATACCACAGCCCCTGCCGGCCCAACACTAGCCGGGGACTCGCTCAACATCAGTGGTTAAAAAAACAGCAAATAATGTATTTCTTTATCCGGGGTTATCGATCAGAAATAACAATCTGCTAGTCTAGCAAACGAGGACAAGGCAAGAGAATGTGACGGGCCAGCGATATTATTTACAGCTAGGCCTCATTCACACGGGCGTGCACATCCATACGGCGTGCAAAGACCTGTGTCCGGGAGGGACAGGTGCAGCGTGTAATTGCGTGCAGCTGCCTGTGCATCCCTATGGGAGGATGCAGCTCCACGGCGACCCGAACCTGCAGGTCTAGGTGCCTGCATTAGGACGCAGACTGTGAAGTGAAAGGAAATCGTTCTAAAGTGGGGGAAATGCCCTCTTAGGCTATATTCACACAGGAGCGGTTGTCAGCGCGTATTCGGCTGTACGAATATGCGCGGAACAGCTCTATACATAAAAAACAATGCACTTTAATGTGCAATGTTCAGACTTTTGTGGCGGCCGCGTGGTACGAAACCAAGCGGCACGCAAGATAGTACAAGCGAGATTTCAGGGGCGGATGGCTGAAGTAAAAGCTGCAAATGAGCGGAATCCGTGCAGATGAAAGATTTTGCATGCCGCGCGGTCTTCAGCATGGAAAACCGTGCGGGAAGCGCAAACACTATATGGCTTAGACAGGTGTATCCATTGAACTTTTACCCCTTTATTCATGTCCTGAGTGACAACTGAAAATTTGGCAATTTCCCCCCACCTTCTGTCCGAGTGGCAATGCTCACCAAGGCAAACAGAATCCCCTAATTCTGGGGTAGGCAACTTTGGCTCTCCAGCTCAAGACTTATCAGACATCGAAAGACTGACAGCCAAAGGCATGATTCCCAGAGGCAGAGGCATGATAGGATTTGTAATGTCACCACAGCTAGAGGGCCGAGCAGAGGCGTAACTAGAACCTTCAGGGCCCCAGTGCAAGAAACCATGAAGGGGCCCCCCCCACCCCCCCCCACCACCACAGCG